CAGTGCATTCCATGCCTGCGGTTATGCCAGACTTGCTTTCTGTACCAGCCCTACTACAACCTGTGCCTGCTCCCACTCCTGCTCCTGCCCTAGTCTCTGCCTTCCTCAGAACTCCTGACTCTGACTTGACTTATCTCCTGACCATGACTCTGGCTCTGCCCTCTGAATCTGCTCCAACCACTAGGCCAGACTCCCATTCTGACTAGTAGGTAGCACTGCCTACGCGCTGGTGTTTGACAAGAAGCCTGACTTCTGGGAGCATGCAAATCCCCAATCAAATCAGTTGCTTTACGAAGATGATCCCCAAACCAACTGCATATGGAGACTCCACGGAGCAGTGTCTAAAGACTGTTGTCTAATAACAGGTTTAGCTGTATGTGCTCCCTTCTCCAAATGACCAACCTTAACAGAGCACTGAGAACTCTGCTCATGCACAATGTGTTTACACACGCACCCTTTCTGGCCTCAAAGTCTATGGGTCCTTTAACCCAGAGATCCCTTGCTACATCCTGCCCCAGCAAGTGCTCTGCTGGTGCTGACATAATGCTGCACCTCCTGGGTGGCTCATTAGCACCAGGGTCTAAACTGGAGACCAATGGATCTAACGGCACAAGTCTTTACTGCCTGAGCTGGGAGACCTAGCAAGGTTAGCCTAGGCTGCAGCAAGCTCACTCCAAGGGGGACAGAGTGCCCCCTGAATGGGTGATACTGACAACCAGCCACAAAACCCCACTGCAGTAGATGACAGGCATATGTGATAGAACTGAGATGGGTGTTAAAGCTGTTGAGACCTCCCCATCCACCAATTTGATTTTAGGGACTCCCTAGCCAAACACAGAAGGGCTCTGCTGCCACTTGCTCTGGTTTTGTCACTAGTGTGAGGGTTTCCTCATGCAATATTGTTTAATCACCATTCAGTATGAATGACAGGGAGCAATAGCTGCTGCTTACACAGTGCTTTATAGTTTCAAAGTACAGCATAAAATTAACTAATGTGTAAAAGATCAGAATTTGCCTAAACCCAAAGCCACAGGAGGGCTCTCTGTCCCTGAACCCATAAACCTCACAAGGGCCTATGCCGGCCCATCACCCAGCAGCTAGAGGTGCTGAACCCCTGCTGGCACAGTGGCTATCCCACCACACCACAAGCTGAGTCCTGGGCAAGTGAGCTCAGAAACGCACATTCTGTGACATTTGCCAAGCAGGACTGAGGAGCTGAGCCAGCAATCTCCCAACGTCCTGTGCCTTGGCACCATCCCAGTCCAACAGAGGTGCTGATCCAGAGGCCTTGCCAAATTCTGGGCCTTCACATAAGTCCAGCAAACTCGAGGTGCTGAGCCAGTGACCAGGCAAGGTATGTCTACACTGCAATTCAAAATGCATGGCTGGCCCATGCCGGCTGGCCCATGCCAGCTGACTCGGGCTCATGGGGCTTAGGCCAAGGGGCTATTTAATTGCTGTATAGACACTGGGGCTCGGACTGCAGGCCAAGCTCTCTGACCCGCTCACTTCACAGGATCCTGGAGCCTGGGCTGCAGCTTGAGCCAGAACATGTACACCTCAATGAAACAGCCCCTCAGCCCACGCCAGCTGTGGGTTTTGAACGACAGTGCAGACATACCCACAGGGGCCTGTGCTTTGGCATAGTACCAGCATGTTAGAGATGTTGAGTCAATAACCTTTCATGGGCCTGAGCTTTGCCGTCAGCCCAGCATGCTAAACTGGTTGAGCTAGTGACCTCACCGAGGACTGTGTTTGAGATCAGCCCAACTGGACATAGGTGCTGAGCAGGAAGGTCAGTGCCAGCTAGGAACAGTCTCAGTTCCAGGGCTTCCTTAGCAATTTGTAGGCTAAAAAAGCCTTTCAAAAACCAATTCGCAACAATTCCCCAGTATCGGGTCCGGCTGGTAGTCCGTATCCAGCATCTCTGAAAGGAGCTGCTCTCTTAAGGATAGAGTTATTCTCTCTGCGCCTATTTCTCGTGGGAGTGTTGCCAGTGTCAGGAGATCTCAATAATATTCAGAACCAAATTCACCCAGGTGTAATTGCATCACGGGAGTTACCCCCAGGGATGAATTGGATCCTTAGTGCTTACATAGCACTTCACAATATTGATCACTAATGAATTGTCAATAACAAATAACCAATTCACTGATAACCAAAAACTGATACTGATTTTAACTCTGGTCATATATCTAGTGAGAAGGGTTCTCTCGAGTCTGGATTAGTGCAAATAATAACAAACCTCGGATGAGTCAGCTTTGACTGGATTTATTGATGAATGGTTAGTAAAGACAGCCCATCTGCAGAGAGGCATAAGTTACCAACAGCTGTAAAAGACCTTCACCTGCAGTCTGTGTCCAGTCTGTAGATGGTCTTACTTCCCCTATGATTATGGGGCAGTTACACCCTTGTTGTACATCATGCTGGGCTTTATCTATTTCCTCTTTTTGGCACACACTTCCTCCTCTCTTAGGCTATTTCTTAAGTATCCTGTTCTATAGAAATTTGTTCCATATTTTGGTAAAATACCTCCTACAACAGTTTTCAGACTATGATAAGGGCAACGGCTTGGTAAAATTCCACCCTCTAAAGTTAGCTTCATTTTAAGTCCGAAGAACCACAGGAGTCTGCTCCCAGGCAAGCCTCAAAATGTTTCTTGGCCCAAGTGTCAAGAGCAAAGGTAACTAATTAATCCTCATAACACCCTGTAAATAAATATTGTCATAGTCAACTCCTAGATGGGGAAACTAAGGCAGATAGGGTGAGTTACTTGCCCTAAACTACAACGGCAGTCAGTGCATGTAAGCACAAAGATTTGAACTGAAGAGCTGAGGAGTCCCTAGTTTCCAAGCCTGTGCTTAGTCCAACAGACAATACTGTGTCTTCTTACTACTGTTCCGGCACAGGTAATGTTCATTGTAGGATTCACACTGGTTAGAGTCTGTTGTTCTGATCCTGACCTCCCACCTGTTTTACTTTGGTGTAACTCTCCTGACTTCCCTGGGGTTGCTCTAGACTTACATTTTTGAAAGAATGAGGTCCTATGTGACTAACATCCATCCTGGCAACTATGCGGAGTCTTGTGGGTGACACCCTCCAGTGAAGCAAATAGCTATCAAGAAGCAACATTATTATTGGGATGGGAGGGCAATAAACCTTGTGAGTTTGGCATCTGTGGGTCATTCATTCCCAGAAAGTGTCCAGTGCTGCAGTTGTTGCTAGTATACATTGGAAATTTAAAATTCACTCATCACCGGTTTCTGGACTCCATTGTGAGTGCTGCTGTTCCAGCTTGCTGGGATTATCCCTCAGCATTTCAGTGGGTAGCAATGAACTCAGGATGTGGCAGGCAACCAGTCTAAGTGAATGTGTTAGAGAATGTACTGTCCCACTGCAATGAAGAGAAGAGTGAATGCATTATTGTTGTTTGTATGAAGCTCCAGCCAAGATCAGAGTCCTGCTGTCCTTACACAGAGTAAGAGACAGTCCCTTCCCTGAAGAGCTCACCATCTAAATACCCCAGCCAGCCAAAGGGAGGAAGAAAGAATTATCACCCACATTTGACAAAAAAGGATCCAGAGAGGCTAAGTGCTAGGTCTACAAAGGGATTTAGGCACCTAACTTTCTGCCAGTGGGCATGCGCAAAACCCCAGTTCTGACCCACCCAGTTGCTCAGTGCCTAAGCTATGGCAGGATCCTCAAGACAGGTGTTCCCGTGCCCTTCTTGCCTATGGGGCCCAATCCAGTCAGCATCCTCAGAGACTGCCTTCTGGATTGGGCCCCGCACAAAACGGCTGAAGAGGAGGCAGTCCCCCCGCACACACTCTAGCTCAAGGCTTAGGGTATTCAGCTGGGAGGGGGGAGACCTGTATTCGATTTCCAGCTCTGAATCAGCACTGGGGGCTTGAGCCCAGTTCCTGGAGATGAGCAGTGTAACCACTGGGCTATAAATCTACCACTGCTCCTTGCAAGAAAGGGCTGACCTGGCTTAAGTGCTTAACTCCAGGAGAGGCTCTGGGGGGTGGGGGTTAGGTCGCAACTCTCCCTTCTCCTTGGTGTTTCCTATGGGCTAGCTTAGGCAGCTCCCTGTTCAGTATGCTGGCTTTTGTGGTGCCTAACCTTCCCCTGTGCATAGCTGCTGGAACTAGGGGAGCTGGGGTGTGGCAGCACCCCCTGACTTGAAGTGGTTTCCATGCCATACCGGGATTACAGTTGGGTTCAGTGGCTCTCAGCACCCGCACTGCACACATTGTTCCAGTGCCCCTGCTTATGCACTGTGTCAGGAGGCTGGGTGTCTAACTCCAGGCAGTGAAGTCCCCGAGGCAGCAAGGTGCCTAGGAGTTAGCAATTGCAACCCTGAATTGAAGTCCCCATTTTTGTACCTAGCCCCTGGGCACTTCAGCGCATGCTGAGCTCACAGTGGAAAGTGGGCTGGGGGCAGCCACAAGTCTACCCTCAGGGGGGTGTTACATTTGCTATTTGGCAGTATTAGTGTCTGCTGAACGGGACCAAGAATGGGAACAGCATGGCAGGAGGGGGCGCTGCAGGTCAGGACAGAGGTGAGCTGGCAGAGCTCTGGGAAGTGGGAGGGACTGTGAACACTGGACCGGCAAAGAGGCACATTGGCAGGTCCATGAGGGAAAGCTTGCCCAGCCCTTAGCTGCACTGTGGCTGGGTTCCCATGATGTGATTAGCCCCTTGCTGTTGCATACATTCCATTCACCCACCTCATTTACACACAGCAAGAGTCAAAGAAAACAAATGTCTCATTATAAACCTCTCAAGGAAATAGTGTGGTTTTCTTCTACAACTGAGACGATTGTAAGCTGACATGCTCCAGAGAAGCGTCATCACAAGAGCAGAAAGAGACCGTCCTGTTAATAAACAGACAGGGCAGGATATGCCTAAGGGGTGTGTCAGGAAGGCACTGCATGGCAAGTAAAGATACTGCCATGGGGGTGGGGAGGGTGGGCTGATTGGCTGAGTAACTCTATATGCGCCATCCATGTTGTACAGCTGCACAGTTGGATTAAAACTTCACTGTGCTTACCTGCCAGCAGATTCTCCAGCTGTGCATTGTCAGCTCTCAGAGTGGGGACTGTGCTTCCCAGTACTGCACGGGGAAGGCAAAGGTAAGCTGAGAACCTTCTTCTGTCTTGCTGAATGCTATGTGCAGTGATTTGTTATATTGCAGCATGTCATAAATATAAAGGGAAGGGTAAACACCTTTAAAATCCCGCCTGGCCAGAGGAAAAACCCTTTCGCCTGTAAAGGGTTAAGAAGCTAGGATAACCTCACTGGCACCTGACCACAATGACCAATGAGGAGACAAGATACTTTCAAAGCTGGAGGGGGGGAGAAACAAAGGGTCTGGGTCTGTCTGTGTGATGCTTTTGCCAGGGACAGAACAGGAATGGAGTCTTAGAACTTTTAGTAAGTAATCTAGCTAGATATGCATTAGATTCTGTTTATTCAAATGGCTGAGAAAATAAGCTGTGCTGAATGGAATGGATAGTCCTGTCTTTCTGTAACTTAAGATTTTGCCTAGAGGGATTCTCTATGTTTTGAATCTAATTACCCTGTAAGGTATTTCCCATCCTGATTTTACAGAGGTGATTCTTTTTACTTTTTCTTCTGTTAAAAATTTTCTTCTAAGAAACTCAATGTTTTTTCATTGTTCTTAAGATCCAAGGGTTTGGGACTGTGGTCACCTATACAAATTGGTGAGGATTTTTATCAAACCTTCCCCAGAAAGGGGGGTGCAAGGTTTTGGTGAGGATTTTTGGGGGGAAAGACGTTTCCAAACGGGCTCTTTCCTAATAAAATAAAACCGGTTAGATGTTTGGTGGTGGTAGCAAAATTCCAAGGGCAAAAGGTAAAATAGTTTGTACCTTGGGGAAGTTTTAACCTAAGCTGGTAAAAGTAAGCTTAGGAGGTTTTCATGCAGATCCCCACATCTGTACCCTAGCATTCAGAGTGCGGAAGGAACCCTGACAATGTCAAGGTTCCTTCCCCACTCTGAACTCTAGGGTACAGATGTGGGGACCTGCATGAAAACCTCCTAACCTTACTTTTACCAGCTTAGGTTAAAACTTCCCCAAGATACAAACTATTTTACCTTTTGCCCTTGGACTCTCACTGCCACCACCAAACATCTAACTGGTTTTATTTTGACAGGTTTCAGAGTAGCAGCCATGTTAGTCTGTATTCGCAAAAAGAAAAGAAGTACTTGTGGCACCTTAGAGACTAACCAATTTATTTGAGCATAAGCTTTCGTGAGCTACAGCTCACTTCATCGGATGCATTCAGTGGAAAATACAGTGAGGAGATTTATATACACACAGAACATGAAAAAATGGGTGTTACCATACACACTGTAAGGAGAGTGATCACTTAAGATGAGCTATTACCAGCAGGAGAGCCAGGGGAGGGGGGAGAGAAAATCTTTTGTAGTGATAATCAAGGTCGGCCACACGATCCATCGTCTACAGCCAAGCTCTATGATACAACCACATTTGCTCCAACCCCTCAGACAGAGACAAACACCTACAAGATCTCTATCAAGCATTCTTACAACTACAATACCCACCTGCCGAAGTTAAGAAACAAATTGACAGAGCCAGAAGAGTACCCAGAAGTCACCTACTACAGGACAGGCCCAAAAGAGAAAATAACAGAACGCCACTAGCCATCACCTTCAGCCCCCAACTAAAACCTCTCCAACGCATCATCAAGGATCTGCAACCTATCCTGAAGGACGATCCCTCACTCTCATAGATCTTTGGAGACAGGCCAGTCCTCACTTACAGACAGCCCCCCAACCTGAAGCAAATACTCACCAGCAACCACACACCACACAACAGAACCACTAACCCAGGAACCTATCCTTGCAACAAAACCCGTTGCCAACTGTGTCCACATATCTATTCAGGGGACAGCATCATAGGGCCTAATCACATCAGCCACACTATCAGAGTCTCGTTCACCTGCACATCCACCAACGTGATATATGTCATCATGTGCCAGCAATGCCCGTCTGCCATGTACATTGGTCAAACTGGACAGTCTCTACGTAAAAGAATAAATGGACACAAATCAGATGTCAAGAATTATAACATTCATAAACCAGTTGGAGAACACTTCAATCTCTCTTGTGCCTCGATTACAGACCTAAAAGTGGCAATACTTCAACAAAAAAACTTCAAAAACAGACTCCAACGAGAGACTGCTGAATTGGAATTAATTTGCAAACTGGATACAATTAACTGAGGCTTGAATAGAGACTGGGAGTGGATGGGTCATTACACAAAGTAAAACTATCCCCATGTTTATTCCCCCCACCCCCCACTGTTCCTCACACGTTCTTGTTAACTGCTGGAAATAGCCCACCTTGATTATCACTACAAAATGTTGCCCCCAACCCCCGCTCTCCTGCTGGTAATAGCTCATTTTAAGTGACCACTCTTCTTACTGTGTGTATGATCACACCCATTTTTTCATGTTCTGTGTGCATATAAATCTCCTCACTGTATTTTCCACTGAATGCATCCGATGAAGTGAGCTGTAGCTCACGAAAGCTTATGCTCAAATAAATTGGTTAGTCTCTAAGGTGCCACAAGTACTCCTTTTCTTTTTGTGGTTTTATTTTATTAGGAAAGAGCCCGTTTGGCAATGTCTTTCCCCCCAAAATCTTCACCAAAACCTTGCACCCCCCTTCCTGGGGAAGGTTTGATAAAAATCCTCACCAATTTGCATAGGTAACCTGTCAAGTTTCCTCCCCCACTCTGAACTCTAGGGTACAGATGTGGGGACCTGCATGAAAACCTCCTAAGCTTACTTTCACCAGCTTAGGTTAAAACTTCCCCAAGGTACAAATTAATTTTATCCTTTGTCCCTGGATCTCCACTGCCACCATCAAACTCTAACTAGGTTTACTGGGAAACGTAGTTTGGACACATCTTTCCCCCCCAAAATCCTCCCAACCTTGCACCCCACTTCCTGGGGAAAGTTTGGTAAAAATCCTCACCAATTGGCATAGGTGACCACAGACCCAAACCCTTGGATCTTAGAACAATGAAAAAGCATTCAGTTTTCTTACAAGAAGACTTTTAATAGAAGTAAAGAAATCACCTCTTTAAAATCAAGATGGTAGATACCTTACAGGGTAATTAGATTCAAAACATAGAGAATCCCTCTAGGCAAAACCTTAAGTTGCAAAAAAGACACACAGACAGAAATAGTCATTCTATTCAGCACAGTTCCTTTCTCAGCCATTTAAAGAAATCACAATCTAACACATACCTAGCTAGAAGAAAAGGAGTACTTGTGGCACCTTAGAGACTAACCAATTTATTTGAGCATGAGCTTTCGTGAGCTACAGCTCACTTCATCAGATGTTTACCGTGGAAACTGCAGCAGACTTTATATACACACAGAGAATATGAAACAATACCTCCTCCCACCCCACTGTCCTGGTGGGAGGAGGTATTGTTTCATATTCTCTGTGTGTATATAAAGTCTGCTGCAGTTTCCACGGTAAACATCTGATGAAGTGAGCTGTAGCTCACGAAAGCTCATGCTCAAATAAATTGGTTAGTCTCTAAGGTGCCACAAGTACTCCTTTTCTTTTTGCGAATACAGACTAACACGGCTGTTCCTCTGATACCTAGCTAGATTACTTACTAAAAGTTCTAAGACTCCATTCCTGTTCTATCCCCAGCAAAAGCAGCATACAGACAGACCCAGACCCTTTGTTTCTCTCCCTCCTCCCAGCTTTTGAAAGTATCTTGTCTCCTCATTGGTCATTTTGGTCAGGTGCCAGCGAGGTTACCTTTAGCCTCTTAACCCTTTACAGGTAAGAGGATTTTTCCTCTGGCCAGGAGGGATTTGAAAGGGGTTTACCCTTCCCTTTATATTTATGACATAACCACAGACCCAAACCCTTGGATCTTAAGAACAATGAAAAAACATTGAGTTTCTTAAAAGAAGAATTTTAATAGAAGAAAAAGTAAAAAGAATCACCTCTGTAAAATCAGGATGGGAAATACCTTACAGGGTAATTAGATTCAAAACATAGAGAATCCCTCTAGGCAAAATCTTAAGTTACAGAAAGACAGGACTATCCATTCCATTCAGCACAGCTTATTTTCTCAGCCATTTGAACAAACAGAATCTAATGCATATCTAGCTAGATTACTTACTAAAAGTTCTAAGACTCCATTCCTGTTCTGTCCCTGGCAAAAGCATCACACAGACAGACCCAGACCCTTTGTTTCTCCCCCCCTCCAGCTTTGAAAGTATCTTGTCTCCTCATTGGTCATTGTGGTCAGGTGCCAGTGAGGTTATCCTAGCTTCTTAACCCTTTACAGGCGAAAGGGTTTTTCCTCTGGCCAGGCGGGATTTTAAAGGTGTTTACCCTTCCCTTTATATTTATGACACAGCACAACAGAGAAGTGACTTGCTGTAGGACGGGGTGCACCAGGATCACAGCTCAGACCCAGCATCCTGCTGAGTTCACACCTGGCTTGTCCTATGGCTCAGTGGCATGAATACAGTGGAACCATTCCATGTGTAGAAGAACCATGTTTATCTCCAGACAACTGCACTCCCCACGGAGATTCTCCCACAACGGAGTTGCAGTCTGTGTAGTGTAACACAATGAAATAGTTCAGGGCTTGTTTCCTTTCACTCCACCCAGAGTGTCAGCCCATGCATGCTCACAGGGAGCCTTTTCAGCATCTTGGAAGATGCTGTGGCACTAGAAACATTTCTCTCTCGTTCCCGGAGCAGAATGCTGTGTAAAGAAATCTGTCCTCTCTGTGGTCTCTTCTTGTTCTGGTTTCAAAGTTCCCTTGACCAGGATGGTCCCGAGGTAACTTTCAGGGTGGATCTGGAGGGTCGAGGGGTACTCACCATCAGCTATAAACAGGAAGAAGTATGTTCGCTTGTTTCCTTCATTTGCAGACTCCTGACAGCAAGTCAATAAAGGGCTCCTATTCCAAGGTGGAGCCTTCTGAGGCCAGAAGTTACTTAATGGACAAGTGAGGAGCAGAGGACTTGCCACATTTCCTCTGTCTCTGAATCCTGAGATGTTAACCATTAAGGGTGCCTGGCTGTCTCTAGGGGCAGTACA